TCTTTGTGTTAAAAAAAGCAACACTTTTTGGTGTTATTACATTCGAAACATCTACTTGTTTTGGGAGATGTATTTAAGGGTCACTTAACTGGTGTTAGGTTGAGGAAGTTTTCCTTATTCTGTTTCCAATTTCTAGTGCTTAGTAAGGTGGCATGAATCCAACCATTTTCTGTGTTGTTCAAGAATCTAAGCAAACCATGGCATCCTGACCACCCACCAAGCATCTCTGTGAACAAGCTTTGTTCTACCTTTTCTGTGTTTTGGTTGTCAGATTTCCAGAGTTCAGCTTTCATCATGAATCCAACCTCTGTTCCATGAATCTTCTTCACCGTATCAGCAACGGAACTCGTTCCTAGATGCCGCTGGCTGCAGGCAACAGCGACGGAGCTCGAGCGTTGCTTCCTCTTCTAACAAACTTTGATACCGCCAGCTGCAGGTAACAGTAAGATGGTGACCAAGAATCGAACAAACTTTGCTTTAGTTCCAAGGGTTGATCAAAGAACTCAACTGTTGGCCTAACCATTCCCCTTCCTCTTCTGTGCTTTGTTTATCTGCAAAGCAAACATAGATCTGCTTGGCTATCAATGACCAACTCCTAATTGACAGCAGAAACCTTTGCTTTCATTTTGGTGATTCCAGAGGGATGAGTCGAGAGGGATGTTTTGGTGTGGCTACTAATACTGGCATGTAAAGGATCAAGAGATCATTGGCTCATCACATTGCGGTACATGTTTGTGATGTGGTTGGCCAATAAATTCCTAATAAACAACATGGTTGATACTGGTCATGCATGGATTTGGAAGTTCAGAATTGTTGGTGAGGCAGCAGCAGCCTCAACCCCCTGGGAGTTGAAGACAGTTTGATCAACCCATTCTGTGATAGTACCAAAGCTGCTTAGATTTAGTTTTAATTACAGAGACATTGAAAAATAAATAGTTAGCTTTTCTTTCATAGATTAATGTTAAATGGTGAAGACGAGGTTTGATCACTGAACCATATAATCGATAATAAATTACGGTTAAACTAGTTGACTTCTTACAAAATAGAAAAATTAGGATGATGTTATAAATATTAAATATAATATAAGTAAGTTTAATGCATCAACATTAGTTTGCAATCGATGCCATGGATAATATGATAAGGGATTGCCTTCCAATGGGTTCCATTTGGGTTCGGACTTGGGATGTTTTAGTATAGGCATAATAAGAACATTGGGCTTGGGCTTGGGCTTGCTATGTCTTGGAATTAATTTAATTGGTCCATTATATTTCGATAGAGTCATTCAAAACTTTCACTTTCATTCTACATGTAGATTGGTCTTCTTAATTCATTTATCTCCCCCACAATATAACTCATTATTCTTATTAATATATCATTTTTCATAGGTTATGTGCTGATACTATGAGTTTGCAAAGGTACAACAGGAGAAAATGCAAAAAAAGATAATAATTGAAAGATAAAAGGAAGAAAAAAAGAGCTAATTACTAGAATAATTTTGGCTTAAGGAGAATACAAGATAAAAAACCTCATACTTCAACACGTCAAAATGAAATTATACATTCGAAAAAAAAAATGTAATATCAGAAAATAACTCAGTTCATTGGTCCATTCCACGATAAAACCATTATAATTTGTTGATCACTTTTTACAAGTCATAGTATATAAAGAAAGAATAATAAGAAAGAGTTACAATCATATCAACATTAATCAAATAAATTATTTCTTTCTTTCTTTGAGAATATAAATTTCAAATTTGACTTGTCAAATAATCTTCCTAACCATTTCTGTTAGCTAGATAGTCTTTTTCCTATTTTTAATCATTTACTTTTTTTCTTTATAATTAATGTAGAAAAAATTGAACATATTCTGGATATTACCAGTGTCTGCCGTACCGAAGCGTACCAGCCGTACCGGTCTGCCAGGTACTCGGTACGCGGATCGCCCGATACCGCTACAGTGCTACAGTACTACACTGTAGTACTGCTACAGTGCTACAGTATCGGTACACCAGGGGTATACCGCTCGGTACGCCCTGGTGTACCGCCCGGTACACCGGTACCGTACCGTACCGAGCCCGGGTCGAAATTCCGGTACGGTACGGTATGGCGGACCTTGGATATTACCATATGAATATTAATGATTTTCTCGATGTATCCTTAGACTAGACAAATTTATGCAAATAAGAACTAAACCAAATTGATCTCCCATCATTTGCTTCATCCTGAGTTTATAAAATTGAAATATAGATTAATCTTGATGATAAAACATCTTAACTAAATCAAAATATCTGACATCAAATTCAGTGTAAGACAAGTTCCAACAAAAAAAAAGAGTATTTCTTTTTTAAAGAAGCAAAAAAAGAGAAAAAATAAAAGATAATATCCCAAATAATAGGATAAGAAAGAAAATAATTACCTCATAGGATAAAGACCTTGCAACTCTGTGCAACTTAATTCATGGATCCATTATCTGTCCTTTTTATGGGCCTCAAATAAAAAAAAATAGTAAGAAAAAATACAATCATATAAATGCTAATTAATTATTTTTTTGGTTTTTTTCTAGAGAAGTGAGCTTCTAAATTTGCTTTGTCAAATAAATCCTTTTTTTTAATATTTCGTTCTTGTGTTTGATGATTCATTTCCTTTTTTTTTCACAATAAATCTAGGAAACAAAATTAATAATATTCTAAATGTTACCATGCGACAACTTATGTCATACACAAAATATCTCTAAACTAACTAAATTTATTCAAATAAGAAATAAACTAGATTGGTTACACAACATTATGACCCCCAAACTGTTATGTGCTACATTTGAGATTTAATACTTCCAACTAAAAAAATATAAAAATTGCACATATGATAAATAATATGAGATCTTCTACAGCCATGATTATATAGAATTTGCTCTATCGTTTTTGAAGAACACCTGCAATCATAATATAATGACACCTTCCTATTCATCCACCAAAAAATTTCACCCTACATAACAATCTTACATGGTGATGTGGATTGTCTCTGAAAGTTATATTTATTACCAAACCACAAGACATTTCTACGTGATGGATTGTTGAAACACTATGATTTATTAGTTAGGCATATTTGCAGATTTGGATGATTTGAAAGTGTAATATCTGGAAGTTTCAGTGATAATTTAGGCTGATTAACTTGATACTTTATTCCCTAAAAAGAACCCAACAAAAAAGAAACTTGATATGTGCTGGTTTGTATGGAATAAGGACTAATTATCCCCTATCGACAAGGAGTATGAATGATGCTAATGGGATCAATAAACAAGTATCCTCTGTATCTTAGTCTTATTCTAGATCAGACGGTTAAAGCCAACTTAAGCATGGAACATAGCTGAATCAAAATGAATTTTTTGATGCCTGGTTTCGTAGTGTTGTGGAATTATGAATGCTAAAATAAAAAAAAACAATGAAATTTACTTAGTTGGGTGGAGTGAAAATGCATTATGGATGATGTGATTGAGGCACCTAATTTGTAGAATCTTACTAAATCCTCAGAACTTTTGACTCTAATATGTATTGATGTAGCTTGGTTAGCACTTCCTTTTCCTTAAGGAACAACTTAAATTGAGTTATATGAAATTTGATTGTCAAACTGTCGGCATGAACATTGATTGATTAAATCATTCCTTTTTGAATATCAAATTATAATGCCTACTTGTTGCTCAGAGACAGACTAATAAATCCAAGCTTTGCCCCTAAAAGTCTTGAAGTTCTTATGTACACCAATAACACACAAAATCTCACCTTTTGCCATAAAACGTGCAGCTAAAATGATTGGAGGTAGAGAAAGCAACATTGTTATACTGAAGCAATATATATATGGATGGGCAAGTTGGTCCTTCTTGATGTTAGCTGAAGTGATGGAGGTTGTGAAATGTGATGGACCACTTAGACAACACAGCAAAAAGGCTAAAAAGCATCACTTTCCAGGGGACAAGGAGACAATGTATTGACAAGCAGGAAAGGACCACTGAACTAAGGTTTGATGGAAGGTGGAGGAAGAAAAAATGTGACTACATAGCTGTACCTTTACTTAATCATTCTTGGATGATGATCTCTTCTTGAAAGGGAAGCTTTGTTGTTGGTTACTGTGATCACACTCCTATGAGATGGAAATCATACAGATTCTTCTACCTTTGAGTACCAAAGAGTGAAGACTGCCAACCAAATGGTCACTAAACACAGAGAATGAAGATAACGTTGGAATTTTGACCGAATGCAAAAGATTACAATTTATTAGGTTGATGTAAAAATTGACATTGTAAAATTAGATTAACAAACATCTGAAAGCGAAAAATTCTGAATAGGCATCTCAGACAATAACAATAATGATAATGATACTAATAACAAAATATTGAATAGAACAACGAAATTATACGTTCTTTCTTAGACAAAAATGGAGAAAAACTAAAAAAAAAAATTTTGGTAAAGATTTTAGCCACCGATACTTTGAAACATTACATTTTTCTCGATGGAATGACAAGATCAAACAATGTTTATTATGAATTAGGAACGCATATTATCTACCTATACATCTCAAATCCAGCAGATAAGTATAGAGAAAAATTTGTTTCTTGTATTTGTTTGAGGCTTTCTCAAGTAAAGATGAATCTCTGATTACTCCTCGGCCTTGAAGTCCATCAAGGTAGTTTCACAATACATAGTGCAGCTGAGAGGCTTGTTGTGGACTAGAATTTATGGTGTTGGTAGTCATTTCTATTTATTGTACCTCTAGAATCGTTTATAAATTATGGAATATGAGGTCCTTGTGAGCTTTTCTCAATTTAATTGGTGTTACATTTGCAATAAATGTTTAACTTTCTATTTACTATCGAATTAGTTAAAAATGATCCCTAAATCCTTTTTCCTTATTGCCATTATGCAGTACTTCTCCAGTCTCATGTCCATGATTATTAGTCACTGCTCAAAATTGACTGATTTCTGATGGCATTTTAATCCAATCTTTGTAGTTGATTTCAGCAATGGATTGACATGGACACCCTGCGCAGCTTCCAACAAAATTTATTGCAAGTAGGCAACCAATTGCTCTGAAATTTTAGCTAAAAATCGATTAATCTCTTTATTAAAACATTTGAAGTATATTTCTACCGCTTGTAAGGCACTGTTCTGTGTAAAAAAATTATGCAGATTGTTCTCTTCTTATGATCATCTGATACACTTCATGGTATCTCTTTCTCTGTGACTGTTGCATCAGAACAATCAGTGACGATGGATTGAAGCTCCTCCAGCCGCACATGAAGACATTAGCAGGGAAAATGATCATCATGTTTTCTTTTAGACACTAGCAACTCCAGCTGCGTATGAAGAAAAGGTTATCAGATATGTTCAATCAAGCAGCCAACTCTTGCTACCTGACTGGAAATTTTGGCCTTTATGATGTTTTCTCCCTTGAGAAAAGATGCCGTGACATGATCAGATTTTGTAATATGAAAGAGGAAAAAGCAGACTATAAAAGACCATCAAAAATAATAAACAGGGATTTGAATGTTCCTAATTTAACTAGAGCTATTGCTTGATGACAAAGATCAATGTATCCGATTCTGACTGTTCTTGGTTTTTTCCTAGAAAAAGATACCAACCATTTCAAACAGTGCCACTGATGAACAAAAAAGATATAACAAGAGTTAGGGGTCGGTCTGTAGATGATCACTGCCATCAATGAGGAATTGATTTGATGGTGATCGGTTGTCTCCACACCATAATTGATGAGTTCGTTTTCCATGTCTCTAGTGGAGGTAGGAAAACAAAAGGTTAAGGAGCTGTAAAATATATGTGCAAGTGGATTACAGTTAGTCATGGAGCTGATCTGGTGAAACCAAGTGGAAAGTGGCAGGTGTTGGTGGGAAATATCTCATGAATTCTCACTCTTTCATCACATATCTTTCTCTTTCCATGGTCAGCTCACACCAGAGAAAGTGAAGAACAGTGCATCATATTCCTTAAAGAAGAAGATAAATGGTTCTTGCTTCTTGCTAAGCTTGCAGAAAGCTAGTATTGGGAAACAACTAGCAAGCAAGATCTTCCTAATCTTTTCATCCAAATTACCCAATCTTATCTTCAATGATGCAAAATAGGATTTGGAGAGCCAGAGAGGCATCTCTAGTCGGCAAAACAAGGTCAAAAACCAATCCATCTGCATCCATATCTATCTACCTTTTCAGTAATGATAGAAGCCACCTATGAGCACAGATCACAAAGTTCAATCTCTAGTCCAAAAGAGCAATGATTTTTGACTGTTTGACACTTAAAGCTGCATGACTGATTTCTTCAGGAACTTGGAAGAGTAAACTGCTGGTCATGATCAACAGATCTAGAGATCATTGTGTACATCCATGTCAAAATTGGTGAGTTGTCCTGCTAATAGTGCCAATGCAGTAATTAGCTGTTGTGTTGAGCTACATGCATCTAATTGACATATTGTTTGATGAGTTAACAGTGTGTGGGCTAGCAAACTAATCATGCACCTTAATATTAGGACAAGTAGAACCTACTCCACCTCATAACAGACCATAAGCTCTAAATAACTAAGGAAAGAAGATATAATAATGGCTTGCCTTTGTCTCAATGTTGTCTCCTTTGCTCTGGTTTTTGTGACTTGAAAGAGGAGCCACTATGATGTTTCCGTCTCTAAGGAGGCACGCAAACAAGCCAATCTCACGTGAGATGGAAGCTCTTCAAGTCCACATCTAAGAAACTTCACATAGAAAATGGAAGCACAGAAGGAGCTCTACTCATCTGTGGTAGATGATATGTTGTGGTGATGTAGTTCATTTGGCACAGAAAAATTAGCAACATTGTTTCTCTCTAAGTGAATGCCTCCAGTCAACTACAGGAATTGCAACTGGACAAAATTGTTTGAATTGAAATCTTTTGATCAGAGTGCAGAAACATGTTAGCTGTGTAAATTTCTTCATTGTCTACTCAAAATATGTCACTAAAGAAGAAACTTCTTTAGCACAATAATCCGATATCAATCAAACAATCATGACATCTTCAGTGGTTACTTGCAAATACATCTTTGATTCATTTCTATCACAACACTGGTCTCAGTGCAGGCACATAATTTGCCCAAGAACTGTAGTGGTTGGTGAATAATCACCAAGATTATTTATAAAGGAAAGGGACATGACTGAGATAATGTGTCTAGAAGATTTGGCAGGTGATCTGAATTAATCAGAGTAATATGTGTTGCTTAAACATTTAATCAACTTATAACATGCACAACATGGAAATATAATTGCTATGTTGGAATGGCTCCTAACACAGTCACATTCAAGGCCATAAGACAGACCAGAAATAAAATTTCTCCCTGTCACAACCAAAGATGATGAGATGGCTACATTTTGTGTGCTATCATCAAATAGGGAAATCAGCATGATTCATTGGATTCTCAGAACAGGTGTACAATGACCTTTCATCCTCAAAGAAGCCAGTTGAGGACTTCAATGGACCACCAATTACAGTGATTCCTAAGCTTTATACCTCTGCTAATCCTTACACTGTTCAAAAGTATAATAACTGTTGGTAGCTCATCTTATTCAATTCTAAGCCCTACTAATCTTAATTTTCTCCCTGAGCAAGCCTGGAAAAAAGATGAACAAATTCAGCATTGCAGGTTTCAATTGAAATCAGTATGTTCAGATTGTTATGTTTGTATTCACATGGATGACATTTGTCTGCTCTTCTGATACTTGTTAATTTCAGTAGTGTCACTAGAACTGATGCATGGAGGTGTGTTTTCCTGCTAGATGTAATTTTCAGTGGTTACATAGTCATTTAGAGACCAGAAATAGCCACCAAGATCAGGTCAATTTGGTGAGATCATAGGGAAATCTCAGAGGAAAGGGAACACTCAGTTGCAAGATGCTGTAGCATTTGACTTGTGGAACCTGACACTATCTTTGCTTTTCTTAAAGACTAGAAAAGAAAGTTGGTATCACTGTATCCAGTAGACAATGTATCACAGTGATCATCAGTGAAATGAATGCTTCAATTGATTTAGATGAATTTTATGGTGTAGAAGAATTCTCTATCATTATTTTCTTGTCATTGAGAAAAAATTGTACAGGTTAGTGAAGCTTCACAGTCATTGCTCCTAACTGAAGCTTCTCTCATAGATCACCAGCATCCTTTGAGAATTTTTTATTCACCCTCTTCCTTCCTACTTCCTACCACTAACTGATGTTATCTTAAATCCCAATCCATTGCAGTGCAAGAACACCAGAGACTTGCTTAGGACTCACTGGATTGCTTCACCTTCCTCTTCTTCCTTCTCTCTCTTTCTGTGTCTGTTTTTGATTCTCCCTCCCTCTCTTCCCCGTCTGCTTCATCTGACATTGAACCTCAAGCAGACCGTATCCACAACAATGGGACGGCATTCTTGCTGTCTCAAGCAGAAGATAAGGAAAGGCTTGTGGTCTCCTGAGGAAGACGAGAAGCTTTACAACCACATCATCAGATATGGTGTTGGCTGTTGGAGCTCTGTCCCGAAACTATCAGGCATTCTATAACTCTTCCTTGTTTCTGATCTTTTCCTTTGCTATCCTCTGAATTCATCAACTTGATTCAGAGACTCATCTTCTTCTCGCAGGATTGCAGCGCTGTGGGAAGAGTTGCAGGCTCAGGTGGATTAATTACCTGAGACCGGACCTCAAACGAGGCAGCTTCTCCCAGAACGAAGAGGATTTGATCATAAGCCTGCATGCAATTCTGGGCAACAGGTGACAGCCAAGCCTGAGGATATTCTCTAAGAAGCTCGCAGTGTCGATCTTTCTCATGATTTGTGGTTGCAGGTGGTCTCAAATTGCGTCGCAGTTGCCGGGGAGAACAGATAATGAAATCAAGAACTTCTGGAACTCGTGTCTCAAGAAGAAGCTTCGACAGAGAGGAATCGACCCGAGCAGTCATAAGCCACTGAATGAGATAAAAGCAGAAGAAGATGAGACCAGAATGTACTGCTCAAACACTGGTGCTACATCCGAGGAGTTGCCGACAAAACCAGTCTTTGATACCTTCCCACTGGTCGAAATCCAGACATGTTTGGATTCAGTAGCAGAGGATAATGTGAATATCTACAACCAAATCCATCAAACTTTAGAACCATTGGGACAGAAGGAAGGATTATGTGACTATAGCAGTGCGTTGTATGTTACAGAGAAGTTTGGCTATGGAGAGAGCTCAAGCAACAGCTGTAACTGGAACTGCAGCATTGGATCTGAGATGAACAATGTGCTTGGAATTGAAGCCTTGAATTGGGCATCTGCCGAGAAGGTGGAAGCACCAACTCATGTGCAGATTAATGGTGTGGAGTCTCATGAACAAAGGTATAGTTCTTGGCAAGAGAAGCAAGATATGGAGAGTTCTGAAGATTACAGCACCTATCCATTGATCTCATTGTCTCATGATCTCTCAGGGACATGCTTCAATGTCCCTCGAGGTGCATTGGCAAGTGAATTCAATGTGGACTTCTTCTAGAGTGACTCTTTGTTCATTCCATTTGAGAGCTTTTGGCATTATGAATGCTATAGAGAAATAAAGAAACTTCACACTCGCTCTTCTCAATTCCTTGAAGAAAAGTAAAGATTGAATGCTTGCTATTTCTTCTATCAGATTCTTGTAGAGCTGGAAGTTGTATTCTAGTATTGTCATTGTCTTAACCATATCTCTATCATCATCATTGTCAGAAACATTGTATGTTATCATCTGTTTCTTGTCCCTCATGGATCCCATGTGCTCTGTGGCAACCCAAAAGGAATGACTCCAAAGCAAATGCACGAGCTGCTTGTCCTCTGCAGCAACTGTTTGTCTCTTTAATGTGTCGATCCATTTTCTATATCTATCTTAATGTCTATGTGAAGGCACATTTGGAATGTTCTGATGAATTATTTGCAATGAGTTCAATGCGCCGCAAAAGATTCAATGTCTTTGCCATAGGAACATAACAGTGACATTTCTTGATTATGAGTACCCCCACAATAACTTACCTGCAAGCCAAGAATTGAGTTATAGCTCCAACAATCTCACGTTCATCTTAAGTTCAGCTGGATTAGTGATTAAGGGATCCGATACCTTATTAGTTCAACACATTAGTTGAGCACCACACCGACACTCGACTTGGTGTTATATCGTAAAGCCATTCATTGTGATGGATGAGCTAGGACTCCCATACCCTATTAACACGAATCTATATGTGGTAGTTGTACCGCTAATAGTCGATAAATCTTTCTATGATCGAATGATGGCAGATGATTTCATATAAATATTTTTGTAGTATAACTCCCCCACGTAATAACAATTTTGGGAACTCCTTATAAAAAATTGATCCGAAGTACATTTCTAAAACTTTATGGAATAATTTGTATATATAATGTTTTTTTTTTCTTGAAACTGAAGTATCAGATGGACCCTTTGTCGAGTATGTCCCCGATATAATTTTTATAGGATCCTATTGAATCCGTTCGTTTCTGACATCAAGCTTACGACAACCAGAATTTGTCATAATAATTAATTAACACAATGTGATGCTATACTCTTATATTGTTTAACCTATTCTTTTCCAAAAGTTATGCGAATTCTACTTTAATTAAAGAACACCTTAGGAGGATTTGACATCACCAGAACAGTGATTGAATTCAGCTGTTTGCATCTGATTGGCATCTCAAATTCCCAACTAAAAGGTTCATGTTAAATTAGGATTCTTTGGAACATATAAAAATGAATGATACGATTGAACTATTCAGATGCCATTCCCCCTCCTGCAACAACAGTGCTTGTCGATTATAGGAGGTCTATGATGTAATTGCTTTCTCCTTTTCCTACCATTGAAGAAGACATCATCTTTTGCTGACTTCACTATCCGGCATCAATGATCATGAATGACCATGAAAGATGACAGATTGGCACTTGACCAGTAAGAATTGTCCGTGAAATGCAATAACACTAAATGAATTGCGAGCACTTGATCATTTTCTTGTACACTGATTGGGTACAAATGGCATTCGTTCATAGCTGGACTTATATCTTTGTGTTGACGCATCACAGTATAAGCAGTGTCTTCTCTGCTGTTCTTTCCAACTGCTCCTCGTAGTGCAGAGGCCATGAACTAGAAAATGATCCGAACTCATCACTTCCCACTATTTTACAGAAGGAAGCAGTCACTTGTCGACTCTTAATCTAACTCATCTTGCGATGTATTTAATCCACGTTCGTGTGAAGTGCACGTTCTTGAACTCATCGAAAAGAATGAGAAGTACTCCTAATGGAATATGATGGAACAGTTAGCATCTGCATGCACAAGGAGACCTCACCAACTTGTTTCTGAATTAGAATCATCCGATCAATAGAGGATTGAAAAGTGAGAAGATCAAATCTATCTTCACCAATTATCTCGTATAAAAAACTAATTGAACGAAAAGGACTCCTTTTGACTTGAACAATTCATCGATCAAGTTATCAAAGATCGAGGGTTCGATGTAGTGTACACGACCACTATCACTTTTTTTTCTTTCCTTTAATGAATAAAAAAAATGAAAAGCTTAACCTGAAGATGATTAAATATATGAGAAAAGATTATTATTGATGGTTCCACTTGATTTCATTTGTGTGTGCTAAAGGCAGGACCGATACTAAAATTATTTTTTTATATTAGTAAAATTTAATTGAACATGAAAGTACATATAGGAAAAAAAATGCTGGTATAACAACAAAATTTCTTGTCAACTTGACAAGGTACGTTAAGAAGATAAATCAATGGAGGAGGATTCAATAAACTAATCCACACCACAAACGCGTTATCAAACATTTCATTAGAAAAAGATAGATATCTGCTTGACATTAACTTTCATCGTAACCAATCCACACCACAAATGCATTATCAAACATTTCATTAGAAAAAGATAGATATCTGCTTGACATTGACTTTCATCATAACTATACCATAAATGCTTTAGAGTAGAAAGACCTCATACCCACAATAACTAACTAATCTTGGGATATCTCCATAATCGTATTTCACATCCCAATTAAGGTTTCAAGAGTCATCAAAGAAAATTCAGCGTTCTCATTCTAATACATTCATCACGTCATGACTCTATTTGTAGCCACACCATAAATGTTGGAGTGTGGGAACCTCACCCATCCTTTAGATTGATTGATCAATTATAATATATATATATATATATATATATATATATATATATATATATATATATATATACTTATTTAAATTGAGTAAATAATAAAAGATCTAAACTAATCCACTTTATACAAAATTTCTATGTTCAGAGCTCATGCAATGACGGAGATCCTCTTGAAAAGAACTCATACTAAAAAGTTTAAGCTATAATAATAGAAATCAAGTCACATTTCACATACATGAAAAGAAAAAAAGACCTACGTGAATCACTTTAGATTAATAATGAACTTAAGTTCAAATTTAATTAATATATTCAAGATGCCATATGACAATATCCTTTGTAATCATGTTTTTGTTTTTTAGATTGTTTATAAGAAAGGAAGACGGAGGAAATAAATAAGGATGAGGAAATAAATAAAAAGAAGATTGCATAATTTTTCCATAAGCCGAAGACTTGGAGTGAGCTTAAGACTATCCTTTGCCTTCCTCTCCTCTCCAAATCCAACTCACAACAGACCTATTATGATGTCTCAAATCCCTTTATGTTGGGCAAAGGGATCGAGATCGATGATAGATCATTGAAATTTGAACGTAGGAAATTTGTCCAGAGGTATGTGGAGATTGATCTCTCATCTCCATTTACTGTGGATTTCGATCGGTGGCCTATGAGACTCTTCCCTTGACTTGCTTTGGACGCAAACGAATTGGTCTATCGAGTGGCCGATTGCAACTTGAAGCAAAGAGATGATCTTGCTGTGGTTGTGGAAGGAGTTGCACTGTCCAACAATCAAAGCCCTCCTCTTATTTGATTCCTAACACTCGTTTTTTATTACTTAAACTAATATTTCTAAAAAACAAAAATTTCTCATTTTCTCTTCATTTTTGTTCTTTTCATATTTATTATCCACCCGTCAAATTCTCTCATATATTAAGTTTTCTCTCACGGTTGTATGACATATAAAAAAAAAATCAATCAATGCGAGAACTCGATGAATTGTAGGGTCCTATCAAAATATTATTTATGCATATCCAACAAAAATAGAAACAAATATATGTATTAAAGAAGATAAAGAAAAGACAAACAAAAGGAAAGAGAGAGGAAGATCCGCATGCTAGGCAACCATACAGTCACCTCTCTCTTTCCCCCCTTGACCGGGTGAGTTAGAATAAGACATTCCCCTCTTGACGGGGTGAGTTAGAATAAGACATTCCCCTCTTGACGGGGTGAGTTAGAATAAAACATCAAGAAAGGTTCCATAGATGATATCAACCTCTTAGACTTATTTGCATGAAGACCCGTCCTTTCACTCTATCCCCTTCAAATCACCCGAGGATGTACGTTTGGATCATTCCCAACTTATATATTGGAAGCATATGTTGTTTTCTTTTTCTCATATCTCAATTATTTTTTTAATTAATCAAAAAATCATGAAAAATGAAGGGACTATTATTATTATTATTATTATTATTATTATTATTATTATTATTATTATTATTATTATTATTATTATTATTATTATTATTATTGTATTGTTT